AATGAAGAAATGTCTGAAGAACCAAAGACCACGAAAAGAAAGGCGGCACCCAAACGTAACTCTACCAGGGCGGGGCGTGTTAAGAAGACGACTGCCGTTAAAACTATGCCAAGAGAGGCCAGAGTGCTGCCAAGTCAGTGCGCGACGGAGGGAAAAAAGTCCAGAAATTGCTTACTCATTGAGCCTCATGTCAATAGACGAGAGGCAGGAAAATATATCGCAGGAATCGTCATTGCAAGTCGAACCGCTGTCGCAACAAACTTTCCCCGAGACTGTAATACAGCCATTCAACTGGCCGGTGCTAGAGCTGGCTCGGAATTGACTGATGCAATGTCAGCAACGACTATTAGAAGCAACGAATCGTCTTTTATTGCTGTAGGAAAGGAGTCTGGATCAATTCTCCTTTCCAGGGATGATGTGGAAATGTCACTTACGACACCCTCGTCGGACTCTGCAAAAGTCTGCTAGTACTCAACAAACTTACGCGTCGGACAATGTTCAAATCAGCATCAGAATAACGAATTGGACGGGATGGGATGGGTATATAGTTGTCAATTAATAGTTACGCACAGCAGTAATCTTTGAGTAACTGTTTGGCTATTGTTAGCTACCCGCTTGCAATTACAGAACGTTGGGGGACCTATAAGTAACCTTTTGCTCCTTGCCGTCTGCTAGTGAGGATATTAGAGGAATACTGGTAAGGAAAGGTTTTGGATGATACGGATGGTGATAGCCGACGTAATTGACACTTACGCTTAATTAATTGATATTTACTGATTACAGCTTAATATAAACGAATGGTAATTGAAATCAAATTCTCCATAAGGCATCCTACCAGTAGTTGCCTTGGGCTCTGCTTATTGCTTGCCAGCGATATATAACCACTTTAGTTATTTGCAACCTGATACGTAATTTTCATCTGGTGAATTTCGAAATAGCTATAGCTTTTGAAAGTCAGGTGGTTTTTGGATTAGTAATAGTACCGTATATATCACACTGATAAAGACAGTACGTCCTTCATTGTTGTGCGTTTTGGTCACGGCTACTAATGAAAGGTCGATTGTCATCTTGCCGTTTGGCGCTTGTATATTCCAGCACGTTGCTATGAATCCTACGACTTCATCGTTCAGCGAATATTATGATACCTTGTACAAGCTACGCGGTATCCCGTCGTTGCTATAAAAAGTTTAAGGCTGATGCTTTTAATATCGAAAGTTAAGGAGATAATGCAGATACCTAATGACGTGGACAACCGTAACGTTTTGAACTTCTGTTCGTTTTGTTGCAGAGTAGTCCATATCGTCGCATCATTAAAGAAAAACCGTCTTCTGTACTGTACAGATTTTCTGACTGGGTTACGATCTATCAGTCTCGATTGTAGGAAAATACCAAATTGCTGGTATGCCAATAGCACTAACAACGAGCAAAAAAAAGATTTCATATTTATTTTTTTTCCTTGTGGCTATATAAAGTTAATAGTTGACCCTTGCCCAAGATAGTAGCGATAATGAAATTTGAAATAAAGTGCACTTCTATTGCTTGCTTGCTTGCTCTAACAATAAACCTTGGATCGTTGGTGTCTATAAAGTCGACTCTGTCTATAAGGACCACCTCGAAAAACAAAATCGGTCATTATAACTAGCATAGTGAAAACACACGAACACGTTTGTTCAACAATGGTTTTTTTTTCCGACAATTGCTGTTAGCCCAGCGTTTTTTCAATCACAACTGGTCTTCAACCATAACCGACAAAGTCTTTAAAGCATCAAAATCAAATAGATATAATTATGGCAATATCATCATCATACGAGTTTGTTTTCTCTTTTGTTCCTCAACAACCAACCGCAGAAACTACTAACTGAGAGGAAAAGAACAATCTAGG